TTTTTTTTTTTGAAAGAGAGAAAGAAAGAGAAAGAATAAAAAAAAAAGAAAAGAAAAAAATGAAGGAGAGGAAGAAAGAGAAAGAGGAAGAGGGAGAAAGAACGGGGGTGTTGCTTTATTGCCCAGGCTAGAATGCAGTCTAAAAATGGGTATGCCTATAATTGTGTTTAATAATAGAGACATAAAAAAAATGAGGGAAGAAAATAACTAACAAGCAGCCAACCAATATTTCATTGAAACCTGTAAATAGGTGTGATGTGGTACTGATAAGAGTGTATATTTTGTGTATTTAAAGTGGTGAGTTCTATAAATGTTAATTAAGTCTACTTGTTCCGGATCTGAGTTCAAGTCCTGGATATCGATGTTAACTTTCTGTCTCATTGATCTGTCTAATATTGATGTTGAAGTCTCCCACTATTATTGTGTGGGAGTCTAAGTCTCTTTATAAGTCTTATATATCTGGGTATTCCTGTATTGGGTGCATATATATTTAGGATCTTTAGCTCTTCTTGTTGCATTGATCCTTTTATCATTATGTAATATCCTTCTTTGCTTCTTTTGATCTTTGTTGCTTTAAAGTCTATTTTATCAGCAAAAATTGCAACTCCTGCTTTCTTTTTATTTATTTTTGCTCTCCATTTGGTTGGTAAATTTTTCTCCATCCCTTTGTTTTGAGTCTTTGTGTATCCTTGCATGTGAGGTGGGTCTGGATATAGCATACCAATGGGTCTTGGCTTTTTTTGCCTGTCTGTGTCTTTGGATTGGGGGATTTAGTCAATTTAAATTTAGAATTAATAATAATATATGTGAGTTTGATACTGCCATTTAATGTTGATTAGCTGTTCTGCCCATTTGTTGATGCAAGTTCTTAATTATGTTGATGTTCTTTATTTTTTGGTATTTTTTAGAAAGGCTGATACTGGTTGTTCCTTTCTATTTGTAGTGGTTCTTTCAGAAGCTCTTGTAAAGCAGGCCCGGTGGTAATGAAATCTCTGAGTGCTTGCTTGTTCACAAAATATTTTATTTTTCCTTCGCTTATGAAGCTTAGTTTGGCTGGATGTAAAATTCTGGGTTGAAAGTTCTTTTCTTTAAGGATGTTGAATATTGGCCCCCACTTTCTTCTGACTTGTAGGGTTTCTGCTGAGACATCTGCTGTGAGTCTGATAGGCTTCCCTTTATGGGTAACCTGACCTTTCTCTCTGGCTGCCCTCAGTATTTTCTCCTTCATTTCAACCCTGGTGAATCTGGCGATTATGTGCCTTGAGGTTGGTCCTCTTGAGGAATATCTTTGTGGTGTTCTCTTTATTACATGGAGTTGAATATTGTCCTGCCCCGCCATGTTGGGAGAGTTTTCCTGAATAATATCCTGAAGCGTATTTTCCAGCTTGGATTGATTCTCCTCGTCACATTCAGGTACACCTATCAAACGTAGATTAGGTCTTTTCACATAGTCCCATATTTCTTGGAGATTTTGCTCGTTCCATTTTATCCTTTTTTTCTCTAATCTTGTCTTCTTGTTTTATTTCATTAAGTTGGTTTTCGACCTCTGATCTTTTCTTCTGCTTGATCAATTCGGCTGTTAAAACTTGTGCATACTTCGTGAAGTTCTTGTGTTGTGTTTTTCAGCTCCATTAATTCACTTATATTCCTCTCTAAATTGTGTATTCTTGTTAACATTCTGTCAAACATTTTTTCAAAGTTCTTAGTTTCTTTGCATTGGGTTAGAACAAGTTCTTTTAATTCCCAGAAGTTTCTTATCATCCACCTTTTGAAGCCTGCTTCTGTTAATGGAACACACTTGTTCTCCATCAGGCCTTGTTCTGTTCCTGATGAGGAACTGTGATCCCCTGTAGAGGGAGAGGCATTCTGATTTTGGGTATTCTCAGCCTTTTTAGGCTGGTTTCTTCCCTTCATTATAGACTTATCCATCTGTGGTCTTTATAATTACCGTTTTTATAGTTGGGTTTCTGAGTGGACGTCCAACTTATTGATTCCCGGGGCTAAAATCTGAGCAACCCACCGTGCCGGCCAAAACAGCGGCATTGTGACTGATGGTGCATTTCTGACTCTGCACAAAGAACCACCACACCAAGGCAGTGGCAGAACCGCCTCGCCAGCCACAAGAGTCTCGCACTGGTGACCTGTGGGGCTCCTCCGTTGGGAATCTCCTGGTGCGTGAGCAACAAAAATTGATCTGAAAGTGTGGCGTCCTCTCGTTCTCTGCGCTTTCAGGGGGAGCTACAATCCCAAGCTGCTAGTGATAAGCCATCTTGGATCTCTCTGAGATTTTTTAATTGTTTCATATCTGATCAAGTTGAGACTTAAGAACTTCATTTTAAATTTGTCATAAAAGTTTACAACGTGGTGTTTTTTCAAAAAAGTCAACAAACTGCAAGCACCTGTTACTAAAGATCTTAAATAATTGTCAAAAAAGTTAAAATAAAACATATAAACTTTATTTCTCAACGTAGACTTTACCGCCAAGTTCAGGACACTTTTGTAAGCAGTAATACCAGCCATTTAGTTCATCTCTAAAGAACTGAGGGTCCTGGGAATATAACCATGTCAGTGCAGTCTCTTTTACATTATTAACTGAAGAAAAATAGATGTACGTTTAAGATATTTTAAAAGATTAGGAAATGAAAGGAAGACAGCAGGAGACAAATCAGGACTGTAAGGTGGATGCCTAATGATTTCCCTTTGAAATTCTTATTTATTTATTTCGGTGTTTCTTGAGGCAGGGCCTCACTCTGTAGTCCAGGCTGGAGTGCAGTGGCACAATCACGGTTTACCACAACCTCTACCTCCCAGCCTCAAGCAATTCTCCCACCTTAGTCTTCAGAGCAGCTGGGACGGCAGGCATGTGCCACCACGTCTGGCTATTTTTTGTAGAGATAGGGTTTCACCATGTTGCCCACCCTGGTCCCTAATTCCTAGGCTAAGCAAATCACTCGCCTTGGCCTCCTAAAGTGCTGGATCACAGGCATGAGCCAACGCGCCCAGCCTGTTGAAACTCGTGTTTGTACAATTACCCTTTTTGATGAGAGGAATGAACAGGAGCATTGTTGTGGTGGAGAAGGACTCCCTAGTGAAGATTTTTCCGGCATTTTCTGCTAAAGCTTTGACTAACTTTCTCAAAACACTCCCATCATAAGCAGACGTTATCATTCTTTGGCCCTCCAGAGAGTTAACGAGTAAAATAACTTGAGCCTCCAAAAAAACTGTTGCCATGACCTTTGCTCTTGACTGGTCCACTTCTGCTGTGACTGCACCACTCCACCTATTGGTAGCCATTGCTTTGATTGTGCTTTGACTTCAGGATCATACTGGTAAAGCCATGTCTCATCTCCTGTTATAATTCTTCAAGGAAGTGCTTCAGGATCCTGATCCCACTTGTTTAAAATTTCCATTGAAAGCTCTTCTCAATCCTTTTGTAGCTCCTGAGCATGCTGATTGGGTATTCATGCTCATGTGTGAGATGTACCACCCTTGAACCTGGTTACAACATCACACATTACCTGTCTGACATGGAAACAAACAAAAAATGCTCTGCTCTCTTGTCTGCAGCTGATCTGAATGCAACTGTTTTGGCATCCATCACATGAAAAGTTTGCTCAACTTTAATTTTTCTGTTAGAATTGTGTAAGCTGAGCCAATTGAGCTATCTATGGTGTTGGCTATTCTTTCTGCTGTTAATCAATGATCCTCTTCAATTAGGGCACAAATAAGATTAATTTTTTCCTTGAAAATTGATGTGAATGATCTGTCGCTTCAAGTTTCATCTTCAATATCGTCCTGTCCTCTCTTAAAATGAGTTATCTATTTGTCAACTGCTGATTTCTTTGGGGCATCATCCTCATAAACTTTTTGCAAAGCACTGTTAAAAGAAAAACTTCAGCCTAATTAAATTTAAAGGAGTTTAATTGAGCAATGAACAATTAGAAAATTGGGCAGCCCCCAGAATCACAGCAGATTCAGAGAGACTCCAGTGGTGCTTCATGGTCAGAACAAATTTATAGACAAAAAAAGAGTGATGTACAGAAAGCAGAAGTAAGGTACAGAAACAGCTGGATTGGCTACAGGTTGGCGTTTGCCTTATTTGAGCACAGTTTGAACACTCCGCAGTGTATAAGTGGTTGAAGTATGGCTGCTGGGACTGGCCAAGACTCAGCAGTTGTTACAGGCACATACTCCTAAATTAAGTTTTCAATCTCATCAACCTATTAAGTTAGGTTACGGTTCATCCATAAGGATTCAGATATAGAAGTACCGGGTCCTTCTCAGGCCATGTTTAGTTTGCTTTAAGAGCATCAGTAATTTCACCATTCTTCCACCCAAGCTGCACTATAAAGCTTCCATTTGTCCACCATCAAGCTTCACCATTGATGTTTGTTCTTGTTTCAATTTTAGCAGAATTTATTTTGCTCTGATAATCAAACTGATCTCTTATCCTTCTTAGTGTTTCAGACTAGATCCCATTCAGACATGTTATAACAAGTAAGTACGAGTTTATTTTGGTGCAAAAATTTTTTGAATCCATGCATAGTTTTTCATTTTTTTCTTTTTTCTTTTGAGACAGAGTCTCACTCTGTTGCCCAGGCTGGAGTGCAGTGATGCCATCTCAGCTCACTACAACCTCCACCTCCCAGGTTAAAGCGATTCTCCTGCCTCCAATTCCCGAGTCAGTAGCTGGGATTACAGTCAGTCACCACCATGCCCAGCTTATTTTTGTATTTTTAGTAGAGATGGGGTTTTGCCATGTTGGCCAGGCTGGTCTTGAACTCCTGACCTCAGGTGATTCGCCTGCCTCAGCCTCCCAAAGTGCTGGGATTACAGGTGTAAGCCACCATGCATGGCCAGTTTTTTCATAATGTGCATTTTCCATGAACATTCTTAAGGCCCCTCATATGTGACAGAATTTTCTTCCTTTTTTTAGACTAAATAATTTTCCATTGTATTCATATTCCACATTTTCTTTTTCCATTCATTTATCAATAAACACTTGGGTTGCTCCCAACTCTTGGCTATTGTGAAGTAATACTGCTAAGAACATGGGTGTACAAATATTTGTTTGAGTCTCTGCTCTTAATCATTTTGGGTATTTATATTCAGAGTAGAATTGCTGGATCATGTAGTATTTTTATGTATAAATTTTTGAGGAACCACCATATTGTTTTTCCATAGCAGCTGCACCATTTTACATTCCCAATCGCAGTACACAGTGTTCTGATTTCTTTCCATCCTTGCCAGCACTTGCTATTATCTGTCTTTTTTATCATGGCTATCCCAGTGGGTGTGTTTCTCATTGTGGTTTTGATTTGTAGATCCCCAATAATAATGATCTTGAACAGCCTTTTGTGTGCTTATTGACTTATCTACTGTGGAGAAATGTCTATTCAGATCCTTTGCACATTTTTGAATTGGGTTTTCTTTTTATTATCAAGTTATAAGAGTTTTAAATGTGTTTAAATGTTTTGGATACAAGTGTTTATCAGATATAAGATTTGCAAATATATTCTTCCATTCTAAGGGTTGTCTACTTTCTCAATAGTGTCCTTTGAAACACACGCATTTTCAATTTTTATGAGGTCCCATTTATACTTTCTTTGGTTGATTGTGTCATATCTGAGAAACTGTTGCTTAATCTAAGGTCATAAAGATTTACACCTATAATTTTTTTTTTTTTTTTTTTTTTGAGACGGAGTCTTGCTCTGTCACCAGGCTGGAGTGCAGTGGTGCAATCTCGGCTCACTGCAAACTGCCTCCTGGGTTCAAGTGATTCTTCAGCCTCAGCTTCCCGAGTAGCTGGGACCACAGGCGCATGCCAAACATCTGGCTAATTTTTGTATTTTTAGTAGAGACGGGGTTTCACCATGTTGGCCAGGATGGTCTCGATCTCTTGACCTCGTGATCCGCCCGCCTCGGAGTGCTGGGATTACAGGCCTGAGCCACCGCTCCCGGCTCTTTTAGGAATTTTTATGGTTTAGTTTTTACATTTAGGTCTTTGGTTCATTATGAGTTTCACGTTTGCATTGTATAAGATTTTTTAAAAAGCGTTGTTATAGTTTTCATTAGAGTAGTGTAACATACTAAACGCCACTAAACTTGGATGTGTTATCCATAATATCAAGCACATGTAGAGATTTTTGTCTTTTATTATCTCAATTTTATGGATATGAATGCTCACATCGTGATCTAGGTAGGACAGTGTAGTTATGCTCACTCCCCAAATGGGAAAAACGAAGGCAGAAAGGTTCAATGACTTGTCCAAGATCATGGTGCTTACAGGGAGTAAAGTAAGGCTTAGAACCCATGTCTTCTGCTCTCACTCCTGGCGCCTGTTTCCACTGCTCAGAACATGTTCAGGGAGAGAATTCTGAAGGGCATTACCAAGATGGCCACTGGGCTCATTTCTGAGAATATTTGTGTTGTAAAAGAGGAGTTCTCATCAAAGAAGGATAACAACAGTCGCTGGAGATCTTGATAGGCACTTAATTTATATTATATCATTTAATCTTCATACTAGCCCTTCAAGAAAGGGAGAAGAAAACTAAAAGCTACTACTGAGAGTATTTTGTTCAAGAATACACACAAGGGAAGCAGGTGAACTGTAATTTGAACCTAGATCCCGGGGCCATCACTTCTCCTGGTTACTTGGATGCTGTAAGAGGAAGTGCTGAGTCTGGAGTCCTACCAGCAACATAAGTTAAAAATATATATATATATATTTATAGGCTGAAGTGCCTTTTTACCTCATTATGGCTGAGAGTCTCAAGCAAGGCAAGCTGTATTGCTTTTGTTTTTTCATTATTAACTCAAATTCCCAAGTTTATCAGAAGTATTTATAAAAACATTCATGCACATATTATACACAGAAATAGTTCTGTTTCTTTCCTTCCTTCCTTCCTTCCTTCTTTTCTTCTTTCTTTTTTTTTGAGATGGAGTCCCACTCTGTTGTCCAGGCTGGAGTACAGTGGCATGATCTCAGGATCTCAGCTCACTACAATATCTCCGCCTCCTGGGTTCAAGCAATTCTGCCTCAGCCTCCTGAGTAGCTGGGATTGCAGGCACAAGCCACCATGCCCAGCTAATTTTGTATCTTTAGTAGAGATGGGGGCTCACCATGTTGGTCAGGCTGGTCTCGAACTCCTGGTCTCAGGTGCTCAAGTAATCTAATCGCCTCAGTCTCCCAAAGTGCTGGGATTATAGGTGTGAGACACTGTGCCAGGCTCCCCCAACACACATTTTATCTTTAGTCATTGCAACTGTTTTCACAAAAATAATCCAACCCAATAATTGATAAATAGGCCACAGGACTAGAAATGGTCAAAAGCGATATTTCTAAAATGTTGCCATGTTTATTTTTCTTATGGTATTTTTAATAATTTTTATTTAAAAAAATTTTGTGGGTACATAGTAGGAATATATATTTATGAGATACCTGAGATGTTTCTTGTGGTGTATTTTTGTTCAGGTTTTTCATGACTTAATGACCTTATCCATACTGTAGTTTGTTTCTTTAAAAAAGAGAACACCACACACACAATCATGTCATTTTAAAGTGGAATAAGTGATTGCAGGAAATTTAATACCTCTTTGTTGCATGTTGCTATGGTTTGAATGATAGTATCCCCTCCAAAATTCAGTTGTAACATAATCCCCAATGCAACAGTATGAAGAGGTGTGGCCTCTGAGAGATGATTAAGCGATGAGGGTTCTGTTCTCATGAATGGGGTTAGTACCCTTATAAAAGGGCTCAATGTTGAAAGAAGTGTTCTCCTGCCTTTCTATCCCTTCTACCATGTGAGGACACAGCATGCATCCCCTCCAGAGGATGCATAACTAGGCATCATCTTAGAAACAGAGCTGTCCTCACCAGACACCAATGTTGGCACCTTGATCTTGGACTTCCCAACTTTTGAAACTGTGAGAAATACATTCTTGTTGTCGGCTGGGCACGGTGGCTCATGCCTATAATTCCAGCACTTTGAGAGGCTGAGGCAGGCAGATCACTTGAGGTCAGGAGTTCAAGACCAGCTGGCCAACATGGTGAAACCTAGTCTCTACTAATAATACAAAAATTAGCCAGGAGTGGTGGCGGGCACCTGTATTCCCAGCTATTCGGGAGGCAGAGGCAGGAGAGTTGCTTGAACCCAGGAGGCAGAGGTTTCAGTGAGCTGAGATCATACCATTGCACTCCAGCCAAGATGACAAGGGTAAAACTCCATCTCAAAAAAAAAAAAAAATTATTGTTGTCTATAAATTACCCAGTCTCGGATGTTTTGTTATAGCAGCACAAACGGACACAGATATACGTGTAATCCTCCCATCACAGAGGGAGTCACTGAGGCAGAGAAAAGTGGGCTAGATTCCTGATTCTTGTACTTGCTTGCCATTGTCTTTGGACAAATTACCAAGTTGTTGGGAGAATCAAGTAAGCCAATCATTATAAAATCTCTCATAAATATTCAACAAAAAACTTTACTGAAGCTGGGCGCAGTGGCTCTTGCCTGTAATCCCAACACTTTGGAAGGCCGAGGTGGGCAGGTCACCTAAAGTCAGGAGTTCAAGACCAGCCTGACCAACATGGAGAAACCCCATCTCTACTAAAAACACAAAATTAGCCGGGTGTGCACATGCCTGTAATCCCAGCTACTCAGGAGGCTGAGGGAGGAGAATCGCTTGAACCTGGGAGGTGGAGGTTGCAGTGAGTCAAGCTCATGCCATTGCACTCCAGCCTGGGCAACAAGAGCAACACTCTGTCTCAGAAACAAACAAACAACAAAACACCTTACTGAAGAGTTAGGTGTGCCTTGGCTTCAGTCACACAGCTAACTGCTAGATCTGGGGCTGGGATACAGCTTTGGATTTATGAGAAGAATCACTTAGAGTCTTCGTTTTAAATGCAGATTATCAGGGACATGCCTAAAAACATTGATTCAAACAGTAGTTCTGTTGTCGTGTGTACATGAAAACTGCCTCAGAATCAAAGCAGGTTTGCCCTGGTCTGATGACACCTTGACTATCATGACATTCACAAAACTTTTGCTTCTCCCACTCTGATAACCTTCATGTTTTTAATTTCTATTCTTTCATTCTCAAAGGGCTGACCTTTTCTTGATCTCATCTCCAAATTGATGGTGAAGGGCAAGCTGCTGAAGCCCCCCCAGGTGCTGACAAGGAGCAGGGTTTTAATCTTCTTAGAGAGCAGATCAGAGGGTGTTTAGAAGGCAAAGGAGAGGTTAAGCTAGCTCTGAAGGAAGGATTACTTTGTAAAATTGAACTTTCACCCTCCCTGCTCTCCCTCCTATCTTAGCATGGCAGCGCCCAGTTACCTAAGGCACAAAGCTGGTAACAGCAATGCTACTCCCTTCTCCTCACGCCCAGTGACTCACCCAATCCTTTCTTTTCTACACGTCTTGAGAGGTGGAGTGCAGGCTGTCACCTCTAATACTGCCTATGCTGTTGCGGTGATGGTGGTAGTGGCTAGCTGATGGGTGCTAGCGGCTATTAGGTCCTTACATCTATCAAATCATTTAGCCCTCAAAACAACCCTGTTATTACTTGCATTTTACAGATAAGAAACAGAGGCACAGAGAATTCAGTTACAAACCAACATACCTGAGATTATACAACTAGCAGCCCATCTGGATTCTTCCCATTGAGGCCGTGGGGCTCCAGAGCCCCCTCTGCACCTCTCTAGCTACCAGCGCAGGCATCTCTCTCGCGTCCTTTGCATGCCCCAAATAAGCTTCCTCCTGACTGGTTTCTAGGCTCTCATCTTGTCCCCTACCAATCCATTTTCCATATTTTTGTTCTAAAACACAAATAGAAACATGCCCTCTCTTTAGGTAAAACCTGACTCTTCCATTGCTCCAGTGGACTAAGCAAGTTCAACTCCTTCCCTGGGTGGGCCTCTGTGTGGCACTCTGTCATCTCAGTCTACTGCCTTTTAACTTTGTAGTTCCTGGAATTCACCCAAGTTGTGTTTTGACCCATTCCTCCAACTCCCGTACGTTCCTAGAGAAAAGGATTGGAGCTCAATGACATTTGTTAAATGAATTTTTCAAAAGCAACAGTATTTTATTACTGGAAAGTGTTACAGACAGAAATTGTGAAATTTTTCCTTGGGCTTCTTTCAATTTCGTTGAATTCTCGTCCGGTATTCTCATAACATTTGGATCAGGTACTTTATCACCTTGTAGTGTCACTGTTCCTTTCTGTATCCTTTCGAAGCCTCCTGTTATTCGTTTTCTAATTCTCTCCCAGCCCACTGCACGATCTAGTGTGGAATGGATGAAAGAGCTGAGCAGAACAGTTCTTTAGCTGTCGCCCTAAATGACTAACTTCATGACCTCTCAAGGTCTCGCTCCGCGGCTGCATGCAGCTCAGCTTTCAACATTCGGGAGAGGCGTCCCGGGCTCGCGAGGGACCGCGGGGCCCGGAGGTCACTAAGCGCAGGGGTCTGCTGCGGCCAGAGCTCTCGCGAAGAGGGAGGCGCCCGAGCAACGCGGGTTTCGGGAACCGTGAATATTTCACTTTGTATAGAGCCCCCTAGGGCAATCCGACCCAGAACCGAGGGCTTCTTTCCCCCTACCGGGGCCTCCCTCCCGTTCTCCACTCGGAACAAACAGCCTGCAGTTCCCGCAGCGGCAGCGCGGGCCGCGGAACACGCGATGGGCGCGGGGCCCGGGCGGGACTCAGGCGCTGCCACTGCTCCCCCCGCGCTCCGGCGCCGGGCCTCTCCGCGCGGCCTCCTTCCTCCCGCCCGCTCAGCTGGAAGCGGCGGCGGAGGGGAAAGGCGCGGCCCCACCTCGGCGGCACCTCCTCCCCCGGCAGGCGCGGGCGGAGCCGGGCCCGCCTCAGCCGGCTGCGGCGGGAGCAACGCAGCGCGGCGCCGCGGGCAGCGAGCTCCGCATTCGAACCTCCCTCGCAAAGACAGTCTCCGCCCCACAATGCACTGCGGCGGGCAGCCTTTGAAAAAGCGGCGCGGCTCGTTCAAGATGGCGGAGCTCGACCAGTTGCCTGACGAGAGTGAGTAGCACCTCAAAGCACCCCCACTTCCAGCCCGCCGCCTGCTCCGCGGCTGCACCGGCCGGGACGGCCGGCCGTGCCCTCCGCTGGGCAGGTGGGCTGACTGCCAACTCCACCGTGGTCCCCTAGTCCTTCCACTCCGGTGTTGCCGCCGCGTCGCCGCCTTTGTTATGGTGTCTGTGTGTTGGTTTCTAGGGTTGTGTGAGCGCCAGGGCCGGAAACCGAGAGCCCGGGAGTCCAGCCTGTGCCAGGCGGAGGCGGTGGCTGCTCCCCTGGCCCGACTCCGGCCCCCGGCCGAGGTGGGGGTTAGAGCGGCCCCCGGGCGTGGGGGCAGTCCTCGCCGCCTGCACCACTCGCCCGGCGCCGAGAGACGCTCGCCGGGGTTATGTAACCCGCCTGTCCCGGGGCCGGGGGAGGGCTCGGGCTCGGCACAGGGTGGTCCACGGCCCCATCGTCTTGCCCCAGCCTCAGATGTTGTCCTGTCACAGCTCCTGCCTCTACGGGCACTTCTGATCTTCACTGTCCTCCCCGCCCCCCCCACTGGTGTGTCCACCCCTAGAAGTGTTTCCGTGTCAGAGGGTTGGCCCCTTCCCCTGGGACCACAGGTGGCTGTGGACCTTTCCCGAGATCATCCAGCCCGGATACTTAGTGTTCAGGTAGCCCCCGTCCCGCAGACTTTCTTCTGTATGTGCCTTAAGAGCCATGAAGGTACCTTTATTTTGCATGGATGTGACCAACACAGCGTACATGTGCAGTACCCTCCCTGACACCCACCCTAGGGCATTGCCTCACTTAACCATGTTTACTCACCCTGACATCTAAGACATGTATGCTCACTTGTGTTGAGTAAGTAAAAGCACCAGTTCCATAGTTTAAGGACAATGGAACTTGATTTTGTAATTTACAGTATTGCATAAATTATGTGAAAAGACAAATATGTTAGTTACAAAAAGGTCCTGAATCCACATTCACTATTCAGTTTATACGTATCTGTGAAAGGCTCAATCACTATTGAATCTGTCTGTGCACAAAGCAAATGGACTTTAAAAATGAGAACTACTACCGATTTCATTTTCTTTGTGAGATCATGTATTCTTAATAAGTTAAGTTATAAAGTTAAAACATTTGTGAAAGGCTCAATCACTGTTGAATCTATCTGGGCAAATGGACTTTAAAAATGAGAACTCAGCATACTGCCGATTCCATTTTCTTTGTGAGGTCATGTATTCTTAGTAAGTTATAAAGTTAAAAATTCAAGTTGCCAAGCTGGTGAAAAGTTGTATTAAAAGTGTTTGTGTTTTAAATTTGATAGAAAGCAGTGCCAAGTCCCAAAGGAACTTTGTCCATGATGGAATTGTTTTCTTTTGTGATATCCCATAAGGTAGCCAAGCCACACATGGCCATGGAACATTTCATGTGGCTGAGGGATGTAGGACTGAATTTTGAATTTTATTTAATTTTAATTTGCATAGTCACATGTAGATAGTGGCCACTGTATTGGATAGGGCACAGCTGTTGACCAGCCATGAGTTGTATTGTTTATTTGTAGAATACAATTGATTGTGATTTAGAATGTTCCCAAATGAGTGTGGACCTTCTAAACACAGTGCACTTGTCATCCAAAAATGTTTTTCATCATCCTTGCTATCTTTATCATAAAGATGTCTTATCACCTCTTCGTGTCATGATCACTAGAGCCACTATTTTGGTTAATGAGAGGAGTTTCAAGTGGCTTTCTTAGAATTGCCATTAGGAATATTTGCTTCATATCATCCAACATTTATTGACAATTTACTGCGGTTCTTTGTAGGAACTTGAGATTTATACTAGGGTTCAAATTCCAGCTCCACTCTAAAATTAACATAACCTAATCACTTATATTGCTTTATGACATCTCTGATACATTGGTGTGTATTTGTGAAGCATATGTCTTGTTTAGCCAGACTTCAGCTTTGTTGAAACCAGGGATTTTCCTTCATTGTCATACAATGCCACAAGTCAAGTATCCATAAATACTTGATTTCTATGGAATTGAATACAAAGTAACAGGTATTATTAATGAAACTGGAGCAGGGTCTTGAAAAGGAAAATCGATTTCAATATGATACTGAAAATAGAAGTATGTTTTTTGGCCACATTTAGTCAAGGGAGCTAGCTAATACATTATCCAGTAGTTGATACAACATTATCAATAATGAAAGCTACCATTTATTGAGTATTTACTATGAACCAGATGTCATGCAAAGCATATTATATGTATTTGCTCATTTAATCTTCATTTCAGTTGTTGTAAGTACTCACATTTTATATGAGGAAATCAAGGCTATCTTCAGCCCAGATCTTTCCTGAGCTCCCTTTTTTGATGTCTTGCCTATTTCACATTTCTTCTTAGATGCTTCAAAGGCCCCTCAAACTGCACAGGTTCAAAATCCACCTCATTCCCACCCCAGGATAGATACTTCTGGCGATTCCTGTATTAATGAATGGTTACATTGTGCAGTCACCTGGCAGGGCAGAAACCTAGAGATTATCTTGAGCACCTTCCTCTCTTTCTTTTTTTTTTTTTTTTCCCTTTTGAGACAGAGAGTGTAGTGGCTCGATCTCGATCTCCGCTACTGTAGCCTCCACCTCCCGGGTTCAAGCAATTCTCCTGCCTCAGCCTCCTGAGTAGCTGGGATTATAGGCATGTGCCACCACACCCAGCTAATTTTTGTATTTTTAGTAGAGATGGGGTTTCACCATGTTAGCCAGGCTGGTCTTGAATTTCTGACCTTAGGTAATCTGCCCGCCTTAGCCTCCCAGTGTTGGGATTCCAGGTGTGAGCCACCGCGCTGGGCCACTTCCCTCTTTTTCATTTTCCATATTTAAGCCTTTATTAAGTCTGTAAATTTTACCTTATAAATCTCTATCAATTCTACTTATTTCTTACCATCATCGTAGCCCAAACTGTCACCATTTCTTCTCTTTACCAATCATCTTAGCCTCTCATTAATTCAGCCACCATCCCACAAACACAGAGCCAGAAGGATCCTTTCAAAATGAATATATGTCATCCTCCTGTTGCAAACTCTTTAGTAGCTACAAAACCCTTTGTGGTCTGGCTGCTCCCTATCTCTCAGCTTCGTTCTGTACCACTTGTTCCCTCATTATATCCCTTTGGGTTAAACTGGATCTTTTTATTCCCTGTACTCACCAATCTCCCCTTTTCTCCAGGGTCTTTGCACATGCTGTTTTCTCAACCTGGAATGCTCTTCCCCGCACCTCCTTACTTTCAGTTCACTTCTAATTATCTTTTAGATCCCATTTTATGCTTCTTCAGAGAGCCATTTCCCATCCTTGATTAAATTATGTCTTCTTTAAATCTGTTTTTTGAAGAGGCAAGATCTCCCTTTGTTGTGCAGGCTCTAGTGCAGAGGCATGATCATGGCTCATTGCAGCCTTGATCTTCTGAGCTCAGGAGATCCTCCGACATCGGTCTCCCCAGTAGCTGGGACCACAGGCATGTGCCACCATGCCCAACTAAGTTTTTTTTTTTTTTCTTTTTCTTCCTATTTTTTGTAGAGACGAGGTCTCCCTATGTTGCTGGTCTCAAGTGATCCTCCTGCCTTGACCTTCCAAAGTGCTGGGATTACAGACTTCAGCCACCATGCAGGGCTCATGTTCTTTATTTTTTTAAAGATGGAGTCTTTCTCTGTCACCCAGGCTGGAGTGCAGTGGTGCAGTCTTGGCTCACTGCAACCTCCGCCTCTAGGGTTCAAGCAATTCTCCTGCCCCAGCCTACTGAGTAGCTGGGATTACAGGCATGTGTCACCAAGTCCGGCTAATTTTTGTACTTTTAGTAGAACCAGGCTGGTCTTGAACTCCTGATCTTAACTCATACGGCCTCCTAAAGTGCTGGGATTACAGGTGTGAGCCACTGTGCCAGGGCAGGGCCCTTCTTCTTCTGTTTTTGTTTTTTTTTTTCCTTTTTGAGACAGGGTCCTGCTATGTTACCCAGCCTGGAGTGCAGTGGCTATTCACAGGCTCGATCCCACTACTGACCAGCACGGGAGTTTTGACCTGCCCCGTTTCCGACCTGGGCGGGTTCACCCTTCCTTAGGCAACCTGGTGGTCTCCCGCTCCGGGGAGGTCACCATATTGATGCCGAATTTAGTGCGGACACCTGATCGGCATAGCGCACTACAGGCCAGAACTCCTGGGCTCAAGCAGTCCTCCCACCTCAGCCGCCTGAGTAGCTGGGACTACAGGCACGTGCCACCGTGCCTGGCCAGGGTCCATGTTCTTTAAATTTTTTTTGTACTACCGTGTAACTTCTTGGTGGCAGCTATTACAGTTTCAGTTTTGTATTTCTTTATGTGATTGTTTGGTTAGTAGCCCCATCAGAGCAGGTAGGGTTTCTGTCTTCCTAATTGCATTCCCAGCTCCATGCACAACACCTGGCGTACCTCTGACCTTTCGTGCCATTCTTCCCTATGCAAGCAGTCACACCTCCTCCCTTCTCAGGACTTAACCTACTGTTTCTTCTGCCCAGACTCATTGCTTTGATTTCCTGCTCTCTCACAGCTAGTTTTTTAAGATGTTACCTCCTCAGAGAAACCTTCTGTACTCAAAAGTAAAGTAGTTAGTACTTAAAGCAGAATGATTCCCCCCCCCATCAATATCACCTTGTTTATTTCCTTTACCGTGAGCTGTAATTATTATGTACTTGTTTATCATATATATGCCTCTTCCTACTAGAATTTAAGCTCCCTGCAAGCAGAGGCTTTGTCTGTCTTGTTTCTTGGGTTAACTAACCCTAGCCCGTAACAGAGCTTATGGTAGGCATTCAATAAAAATTTTTTCCACATGGCTAATGTGCTGACTTTTAACAAGGTTTTAGGGAGGCACATCTCACACATGAGTATGAAAACCCAATCATCATGCTTATGAACTACAAAAGGGTAGAATCTTTGGATTAATAAACACTCCTTGTTAGAGCAAGATTCTAATTTAATCAGATTTGCCTGACTGAAAAATCCATGTTCTTAACCTATTATTATTATTTTTAAAAGATGGGATGGGGCGGGGGGGACCCCACCACCATTAACCTATTATTTTTTGATTGCTCAAGAAATAATACTAACACCATTATATCAAAAGTCACTGTGTAATATGTGCATTGTTCTATGCACTTTTATATATATTAACTCATTTAATCTTCATTTTACAAACGAAGAAACAGTAGCACAGAGAGACAAAGTAACTTATTTAAGGTAACATGCAAGAAAGTGTCAGGACCAAGATTCAAACATAGCTAGTCTCAATCTAGAACCTATTCTCTTAACCACTATGCTATCCTGCATCTAGAAAAAGGGAAAAATGGCTGGGTGCAGTGGCTCATACCTGTAATCCCAGCACTTTGGGAGGCCAAGCCAGGTAGATCAACTGAAGTCAGGAGTTTGAGACCAGCCTGGCCAACATGGCGAAACCCTGTCTCTACTAAATATACAAGAATTAGCTGTGTGTAGTGGTGCACACCTGTAATCGTAGCTACTTGGGAGGCTGAGGCAGGGAGAATTGCTTGAACCCGGGAAGCGGAGGTTGCAGTGAAATGAGATTGTGCCACTGTACTCCAACCTGGGTGACAGAGTGAGACTCCATCTCAAAAACAAAAAAGAAAAGGAAAAAAGGTTAAAGATGATTGATCAGAATCCCCAAGATACGATTCCTGCCTTCATGGAGCAGGAATGGATATCCTTATGGCCTATACATCTTCCTTCAGATCTCTGCTTAAGTATCACCTTTCATAGAAGCTAAACGTGAACACCTTATATACGAATAGCCTTCCTTCTCCCCATTCCCACCCTGCATATTCTTTTTATTCTGCTTTATTTTTTCCATAGTGCTTATCGTGACTTAACAGCTGTTTTTGTTTGTTTCTCCTCACTAGAATGTACATTCCATGAGAGCAGGGAGTTTGACTGTTTTGCTTGCTGTTGTCATCCCCATTGCCTAGATCAGGCAGGGACTGGCATGCCATTAGCATTCTACATATTCATCGAGTGAATGGTTACTACTTTTTCTCAAATGCACTATATATCTCTTGGTACACAGATGTGTGCATTGTCTGTTATTACTGCTTTACAGTTGTGTTGCATTGTTTGAGACATTTTAGCAAGATTTTATGTCATTCACTCTCCATGACTTTACTGCCATTTGTCATTAAGCCTCATTTGCTGTACAGAAGCTGTTATGGTGTCCTGTTAACTATTCTTCACATCTAGGCAAGAGAGTAGGGTGAAAGTAAGTGTCTTTAATGTTAATAGGTGTCTGTTTTACAAGTCTCTTATACTGACCTGTGGAGGAAAAAGTCAGTTGAGGTTTAGTGATCTGAGATGCATAGTGTTTAAGGATCTGAGATGAAGTGATTCATAACTGCCATACTTTATCTGTTGCTTCTCATTTTAAGTCTATTATCCATTTATATGAGATGTAAATCATGGCTGCTTTTGTTAAATAGCAAGGAGGATTAATCTGTCCTGTCTGATTTTTGTTCCTAGTTCATGTTCTTTTTTATTTAATCCCCTGAGATCATCCTTAATTATTATTTTTCAGATGACTTGGACTTTGCAATGTATACATTCAATTCTGAGATTTTTAAATTTACTGGTTTCTTGCTCTCAAAAAACTTCTTTCTCTGTTGATTCTTCTGCTTTCCCTACCCATAGATCCTATCATTCATTCATACCAGAACCTGTAGCCTGATGTTTCTCCAAGTGGGCTACCTGCAATAGAATACCCTGTTATTTATTAATAATATAGATTCAGTATAGATTGTGCATGTATGAGGAGCTTCCTGGTTATTCTAATTTATTTTGTATTTTTTATTTTTTTGAGACAGAGTCTTACTCTGTCTCCCAGGCTGGAGTGCAGTGGCGTGGTCACAGCTCACTGCAGCCTCAACCTCCCAGGCTCTAGCAAGCCTCCCACATCAGCCTCCTGAGTAGCTGAGACTGGAGGATGCCCAGTGAATTTTGAAAATTTTTTAAGAATCAGAGTCTCCCTGTGTTGCCCAGGCTGGTCTCGGGCTCCTGGGCTCAAACGATCCTTCCTACCTTGGCCTTCCAAAGCACTGGGATTACAGGTGTCAGCCATCACACCTGACCTCTAATGTACACTAAAGTTTGTTTTATCCAGTGGACCCCTCCAACTTTATTCTAGCCCATCTTGGCTGTTCTGTATTCCTCTCTCCAGCTTAGATCTTGAAGTATTGCATTCCAGACTTTCAAGGGACTTATTGCTTACTCTGACAGTCCCTGAATCATTTCCATTGTCTGTTTTTCCAGTCCGTTACTACATCAGTCTTTGCCTCAATAGATATCAGTGCCCTTTCTCCATTCTTCCAGCACCACAGCATGCTTGGATGAGGATCCAAAATGACCTCTGTCCCATTCTTCCTCTTTCTTCACTTTCTTCTTCTGGAATGGTTTCCAGTTTTCACAGCTTCAGCAAGACTCTCATATGTCTCTCTCCAGTTCTTTCATTACTCTGTCTGAGTTCTGGTCTATAGTTTGAATTGTCTGCTAGATATTTCTAATTGCACATTCCATCATCTCTTCAAACTGAACATTATTAAAACTAAATGGATCACTTTTGCCCCCAAACCAAGTTCTTTTTCCCTCATTTTTAAATGAAATAATTATTAATATGTTTTATTTTTAATTGCAGGCTCTTCAGCAAAAGCCCTTGTCAGTTTAAAAGGTAAGTATAGCATTTTTTAGATATACCATAGCTAGAAGTCTATTTTATTAAATTAATTTGAATATAGTGTTTCCATTTTCCTTCTAAGTTATAATTCATTATAGCTTTTCAGTCTTGGTTTTTACTGATAACCTTAAGTTAATATGCTTTTATAGGAGAATTGATCCTCGGTTGTTAGAAATTATTTTTAAAAATTTCTGAAATTATTGATTCCAAAACTCTAATTAAACATTCCATAAATATATTGTTTACATTAAAGGCATTTGTTAAACAACTGTGCTGAGCTATATGTTTGCATAATTGTTTGTTTCTTTTTGAGATCGTCTCTCTCTGTTGCCCAGGCTGGAGTACAATGGTGCAGTCTTGGCGCACTACAACCTCTGCCTCCCAGGTTCAAGTGATTCTTGTGCCTAAGCCTCCTGATTAACTGGGATTACAAGCATGTGCCACCATGTCTAGCTAATTTTTGTATTTTTAGTAAAGATGGGATTTCTCCATGTTGACCAGGCTGGTCTTAAACTCCTGGTCTCAAATGATCTGCCCACCGTGGCCTCCTGAAGTGCTGGAATTACAGGTGTGAGCCACTGTGCCCAGAAGAATTTTTCTTTATTTTTTGAGACAGGGTCTCAATCTGTCATCCAGGCTAGAGTGCAGTGACGTGATTATGGTTCACTGCAGCCTCGATCTCCTGGGCTCAAGTGATCCTCCTGCCTCAGCATCTTATGTAGCTGGGACCACAGGCACATGCCACCATGCCCAGCTATTTTCTTTATATTTTTGTAGAGAAGAGGTTTCACTTTGTTGCCCAGGCTGGTCTTGAACTCCTAGGCTCGAGGAATCCTGCTGCCTTGGCTTTGCAAAGTACTGGAATTACGGTTGTGAGCCACCACACCTGGCCCATAATAGTTTATTTTTAAGAATTTTCCTTTCTCCAGGCACGGTGGCTCATGCCTGTAATCTCAGCACTTTGGGAAGCTGAGGCGGGTGGACTACTTGAGCTCAGGAGTTCGAGACCAGGCTGGCTAACATGGTGAAACCCCATCTGTACTAAAAATACAAAAATTAGCCAGGAGTGGTAGCAGGCTCTTATAATCCCAGCTACGTGAGAGGCCGAGGAAGGAGAATTGCTTGAAGCTGGGAGGCAGAGGTTGCTGTGAGCCTAGATCGCACTACTGCATTCCAGCCTGGGTGACAGAGTGAGACTCTGTCTCAAAAAACGAAACAAACAAACAAACAAAAAGCATTGCTCTCTAAGTATGATGCCTTAAAATAAAAGGATGATTCTAAGAAAAAGTTTGACATGTTCCTTGGTCTCACTGTTTCTTTTGGCAGGTACATGAGACTAACCCTTTTAACATAGTCTCTTTAAAATTTTACCTCTTGTTTAAGATTCTGATAGGTAAATACATTTGGAACCAAGCTAAATATTCTCAAAGGTTCATGAGTACTTTTGGTCTTCAAAGCTACTGTGTTGTACTTTGGATTTGTGATTTACCAAATTAAATCCTTCTTGCTTGAGAAGACCACTTGTCTTCCAGAATGCCCCAGTTTCTTTGCCTAGCAGGGTCAACTCCATCTCCTCTCTGTTCTTTTGTGATCCTTAAAAAGTATTCCATTATTCTGTTTCTCCCAATATTAAGCTCATTTCTCTCTCTCTCTCTTTTTTTTTTGGAGACTGAGTCTCCCTCTGTCATTCAGGCTGGAGTGCAGTGGCGCAATATCCTGGCTCACTGCAACCTCCAGCTCCTGGATCAATCCATTTTCATGCCTCAGCCTCCTAAGTAGCTGGGACTACAGGTGTGCATCACCATGCCTGGCTAATTTTTGTATTTTTTGTAGAGATGGGGTTTCACCATGTTGACCAGGCTGATCTCCAACTCCTGGCCTCAAATGATCCGTCCACCTCAGCCTCAAAGTGTTGGGATTATAGGCATGAGCCATTGCACCTTGCCTAATTTTCTTTTTTATATCAAATGTTTCATATATTAAAGCAGAAAACATTTAGAAATATGCCCTAAATACAGGCCCAGCATTGTGAATCATTCCTGTGAACTCAGCACTTTGGGAGGCCGAGGCGAGAATCACTTGCGGTCAGGAGTTCCAGACCAATCTGGCCAACGTGAAGAAACCCTGTCCCTACTAAAAATACAAAAATTAACCAGGCATGATGGCACACACCTGTAATTGCTCTATTGAGGAGGCCGAGGCAGGAGAACTGCTCGAAACCAGGAGGCAGAAATAGCAGTGAGCCAAGATTGTGCTACTCTACTCCAGCCTGAGTGATGGAGCAAGTACTCTGTCTCACAGAAAAAAAAAAAAATGCTCTAAATTCAAGGTTAGAAAGGGCTTTTTCCATTTTTTATTCCTGTGCTTTCAGAATTGTACCAAAAATTATGAGATCATTCTTGGCAAATTGAAATGGAGAAATTATTAAAAATCCAAAAAGAAAGAAAAAGAATTACATGTTTCAGCATGGACATTTAATACTTTCAAGATGCATTGCTTTATCAAATTATTTAGAGCATTTGAAAGAAAAATATAAAGAAGCACTTTTTCATTTATAGTAGACTAAAGTTATTATGGTCAGTATATTTTTTTCATATTGGTAAATATTTTAGATATATGGCTATTATTAAAAAGACAGTATGCATAGTATGAAATCCTTTGAACTCAGCCAAAATTTTATTAGTATTATTTATTACAGAGGGAAGCTTATCTAACACATGGAATGAAAAGTACAGTTCTTTACAGAAAACACCTGTTTGGAAAGGCAGGAATACAAGCCCTGCTGTGGAAATGGTAAGGAGTGAGTTTTTCTTACACTTTAGAATAATTATAGCTAAGTTGTCTGTATTACTGTCATATGTGTAAATTCTTGCAGCACAGTAAAAAATTTATAAGCTTTTTTCCCAACCTCAAGTGTCATTAGGCACTATTTGATCTTATTTAGGTAAATTAATCTGTAGCCAGTGATAATCTGGTTATCATTAAGCATTTGTTCAATAATTGTATAATAGTTTCTTTAATTAGGAAAAAAAAAAACTACAACTTATATTTTTATTAGATATGCAAAAAATTTTACATGGCTTTGTTACCTGCAAAGTATCAAAGTAGTAAGGTATCAAAATCTTGTATAGCATAGCCAAAAAGAAAAAAAAAACCTTTGTGTAGGTCAAAGGTAAGTGCATTTAGAAGTGGGAAGTAGAGATGAGCATATAATTGACATGACTAACAGTTTTAGGAACTCTTTTTCTCTCCTGCCCTGCCAGGTAGCCAGGAGGTTTTAAGGGTCTGTCATGAAACAGTCCTGGAGTTGGGATAGACAGCAGCAGTCACTGTAGCCTGGGCAACTGACCACAGTGAATGTGAGGGGCTTTCCTTACTATGTGATTCCATCATCTTCATTCCCTTCCTCTTCTCTGCTTGTGGTCAGAGAAGGGGGGCAGTGTAGAACGGACTTGATGTCAGGGCTTCATGTTTAGAGTATCAAGACTGAGTGGGTTTAATTTCTTTTTGTTTTTCTTTTTCTGAAATGAGGTCTCGCTCTGTCGCCCAGGCTGGTCAGGAACTTCCAGGCTCAAGTGATCCTCCCCACTCAGCCTCCCAAGTAGCTGGAACTACAGGTGTGTGCCACCATGTCCGGCTAATTTTTAAAATTTTTTTGTAGAGATGGGGTCTCATGTTGCCCAGGTTGGTACCTGGGCTCAAGTGATGTTCCTGCCTCGGTCTTCCAAGGTGCTGGGATTATAGGCATGAGCCACTGTGCCCAGCCAGAGTGGATTTAATTTCAAGGGTTTATATACCTGAGTGGATGCTGCCCATATGTTGTTAGCCCTCTGTACCTGTTTCTCTTCCAAATAGGCATGAGTGATGGGAGAAGGCTTTGAAAAGGATGTGGATCTTAGATATTATTTCTGTTTCTATTAATGAAACCTCTGAACCCAGGGTGAACTGTAAGATTTTTCCTACTACAGACCTTTAAGTGTATGATGTATATTTGATACTTAAACAATTTTTCTAGTTCTGTGGGTAATTGTCAGATATCTATCATTACGTATCTTGTATTCTTATTTAAAGATGAAAATTTGGTTAACAATTTTTGTCAGCAGATCTAGTATAATAGTATACATATTTAGGCTTACTCTTCTAGAGTGATTTAGAATCTTTGGCCTAGCCCAACCCTATGCAGCAGATGTATCATGTCACACACCCAGTTGGTATTAACCCAAGCACCAACATAATTTGAACTGAAATTTACAGAACTTATTTTCCTATCATCACTGTCCAAGGCTGCCAGTGTACTAAGGAGACTTGGGGTTCAAGTTTTACTTTATTTATCAGCTAGGTATTTCATTCATAAGCAACTTGCATAAATACCTCTTACTGCTTTCTAAATCTGAGATTATTTATATTTGGCTTTGTGTGCTTTGCATTGCCCATACTTTATCCTTCCATACTGATGATAATCCAGAGTTAGCTCAGTTTTCCAAGTATAGAACTGTATTTTGGAACAAAAGTGGGAGGGTTCAGTTTTTCATTAAATGAAAACATTTCTATCATAGCCTTTCAGAAATTCAAAACGAAGTCGACTTTTTTCTGATGAAGATGATAGGCAAATAAATACAAGGTCACCTAAAAGAAACCAGAGGGTTGCAATGGTTCCACAGGTATGTGTGTGCTAAAATTTTGTTTCATTGGAAAGGAAGTAAGCAAATGCTCAACCTAATAAAGTTTATATTCTGTTACATTTTGAGTAACAAGTTCTTTAAATCAGTATAGCTACTCTGGTCCTGTTTTAGTTACCTAGAAAACCGTTATTTTTTTTTATCAACTTTAAAACAGAATAGAAAAGAAAGCCAGCTATCAGTCCCACAAATGCACACTTTTATTTTAAGCATGGAGATAGTAGAGGAATTTGACAACATGGAATCAATCTGTAGGTTTGCACAGAAATAAGAGGGAAAAAAATATTTTACTTGGTCACCAAGAGAAGTATGTTGAAGACTTCCTTTATCTAAGAGAGAAAATTTTTTTTTTGAGACAGAGTCTTGCTCTGTCGCCCAGGCTGGGGTGCAGTGGCGTGATCTCAGCTCACTGCTACCTCTGCCTCCTAGGTTCAAGCAATTCTTCTGCCTCAGCCTCTTGAGTAGCTGGGATTACAGGCTCACAGCACCATGCCCAGCTGATTTCTGTATTTTAGTAGGTACGGTGTTTCACCATGTTGACCAGGCTGGTCTTGAACTCCTGAGCTCAAGTGGTCTGCCCACCACAGCCTCCCAAAGTACTGGGATTACAGGTGGGAGCCACCTAGCCCAGCTGAGAGGAAAATATTTAGCATGAAATCTTATCTCCTAATTTATTTTTGACATTTAAAAACTCACAGTGGGCTGGGCACATTGGCTTATGCCTATAATCTCAGCACTTTGAGAAGCCATGGTGGGTGCATCATTTGAGGCCAGGAGTTCGAGACCGGCCAACATGGTACAAAGCCCTGTCTCTACTAAAAATACAAAAAAAGCTATCTGGGCATGGTGGTACATGCCTGTAATTTCAGCTGCTTGGGAGGCTGAGGCATGAGAATCGTTTGAACCCAGGAAGTGAAGGTTGCAGTGAGCCAAGATCATGGCACTGTACTCCAGCCTGCGTGACACAGCAAGACTTTGTCTCAAAAAAAAAAAAAAAAAAAAAAAAAAAGTAGTGGACCTGTAAAAATCAAAGGAATGAAAATTGGATAGGAAAATGCTAACTTTAAGGGTAATGTAATTTTTCTCTTCTGATATAATCATTCCCTACTTCTCTTTCATTATTTTCCAAAGTCTTATAAAACAAGATTTTCTAATATAATGGATGATAGAGGTAATTTTCTCAAGGTTGTGTTTTTTTTTTCTTTTTGAGATGGAGTTTCACTCTTATTGCCCAGGCTGGAGTGCAATAGTGCACCCTCAGCTCACTGCAATCTCCGCCTCCCAGGTTCAAGTGATTTTCCTGCCTCAGCCTCCCGAGTAGCTGGGATTACAGGCATGTGCCACTATGCTCAGGTAATTTTGTATTTTTAGCAGAGACAGGGTTTTTCCATGTTGGTCAGGCTGGCAGGCTGGTCTCGAAATCCCGACCTCAGGTCATCTGCCCACCTTGGCCTCCCAAAGTGCTGGGGGGCGTGAGCCACTACATCTGGCCAGATTTCCCCCCACCCTGCACCACAATGACATGATCTCGGCTCACTGCAACCTCCGCCTCCCAGACTGAAGCGATTCTTGTCCCTCAGCCTCCTGAGTAGCTGGGACTATAGGCATGCGCTACCACACCTGGCTAATTTTTGTGTTTTTAGTAGAGACAGAGTTTTGCCATGTTGGCCAACTTGATCTTGAGCTCCTGACCTCAAGTGTTCCACTTGCCTCAGCCTCCCAAAGTGCTGGAATTACAGGCATGAGCCACCACACCCGACTCAAGGATTTAGCATTAAATAAATTAAAAGCATGACCAGCAATCTACCAATAAAAACTCTTACATGCCTTATGATAATTTTAAACAGGAAAATATGTTCATGTTCTGTAGAATGAACAGAAATGTATCTTGAAGTTTAAAAAAAAGTTGTCAAAGACAAGTGCACATGAGCATCTAAAAATTTGATTTTGTAATCCCAGCACTTTGGGAGGCCAAGGCAGGCAGATCACTTGATGTCAAGAGTTTGAGACCAGTCTGGCCAACATGGCAAAATGCCATTTCTATAGTAAATACAAAAATTAGTTGGACGTGGCAGCATACACCTGTAATCCCAGCTACTCACTTGAACCTGGGAGGGAGAGGTTGCAGTGAGCCAGGATCACGGCTGTGCACTCTAGCATGGGTGACAGAACAAGACTCTGTCTCAAAAAATAAATTAATTAAAATAAAGGATAATAGTAGGCCGGGCGCGGTGGCTCAAGCCTGTAATCCCAGCACTTTGGGAGGCCGAGGCGGGTGGATCACGAGGTCAAGAGATCGAGACCATCCTGGTCAACATGGTGAAACCCCGTCTCTACTAAAAATACAAAAAAATTAGCTGGGCATGGTGGCGCGTGCCTGTAATCCCAGCTACTCAGGAGGCTGAGGCAGGAGAATTGCCTGAACCCAGGAGGCGGAGGTTGCGGTGAGCCGAGATCGTGCCATTGCACTCCAGCCTGGGTAACAAGAGCGAAACTCCGTCTCAAAAAAAAAAAAAAAAAAAAAAAAAAGGATAATAGTAATTTGATCTTGTTGAAACCAAAATGCAATGTGTATTTCTTGGCCAAGTTAGCTGTTGAATACAAGGTTGAATGAATATAAGAAATAGTTAAATAACAATTTTGTTAGCTAGACTTTGGAAGAGCTATGTTACTAGGATAATCTAGATGATTCACAAACATACAGAAAACTGATCTTTATGACTGTGACACTGTCCTGTCCCAACTCTATCCACTGCCTTCCTGGGCACATCACTTCTTCTGAGACTATTTTACAGAGTCCTTTTTAGCCATACAGAGAATTCTGAGCAATTCAGACCAAATATAATGTAGGATAAACATTATATGAGACTTCCTGAAATATGAGAAAAGTTTTTATATCCTCTGAGTTTTCTCTTTACCAGTTGTAGCATCTCTAGTTCTTTCCATCTTCATTTACCTAACATGGCTTGTTCCCTTACCCTCCTAGTCATGTCTTCTAAATCTGTTGCATTTTGTCTGTATGTTTATTTAAAGAACATCACCCAGAGCTGAAAAATTACAAAAACGAACTTTCATTGAGTATTTATTATGTGTTGAGTCCTGTTCTAAACACTTCGTATATATTACTTTGATTAATCTTCATCAACTCCTATGAGATAGATTACTGTTACATTATTTCCCATTTTGTAGATAAGAAAACAGATACAGATAAGTATCTTGCTCAAGACGTCAAAGCTAGGAACTAAAGGCTACTAACAGGCAGCCTGTCTCCAGAGTCCTACTTTAAAAAGAAAAAAAACCAGCTTTGTTGAGATATACTTTACATATACAAATCATCTGTTTAAAGCTTTCAATTTGGCTGGGCACAGTGGCTCATTTTGGGAGGTCAAGGTGGGAGGATTGCTTGAGCACAGGAGTTTGAGATGAGCTTGGGCAACAAAGTGAGATCCTGTCGCTACAAAATTTTTTAAAATTTATTTAGCCAGGCATGGCGATGCGCACCTGTGGTACCAGCTATTTGGGAGGCTAAACTGGGAGGATCACTTGAGCCCAGGAGATCGAGACTATAGTGAGCTGTGATCAGGCCACTGCATTACAGCCTGGGCAACAGAAGAGAGACTCTGTCAGTTTTAATAATTTATATTTCTGGTCTGGTGCAGTGGCGCACATCTATAATCCTAGCACTTAGGGAGGGTAAGGCAAGTGGCTGACTTGAGCTCAGGAGTTCCAGACCAACCTGGCCAACATGGTGAAACCCCAACTCTACCAAAAATACAAGAATTAGCTGGATGTGGTGGCACACGCTGTAGTCCCAGCTACTCAGGAAGCTGAGACAGGAGAATTGCTTGAATCTGAGAGGTAGAGGTTTCAGTGAGCCAAAATTGTGTCACTACACTCCAACCTGGGTGACAGAGTGAGACCCTGTCTCAATCAATCAATAAAAGATTCCCTCTAACAATTTGAATCTATTTTCCCATACCCAGCAGAGGAGTTTTTAATATAGTTTTATATTCAATGAGCTGCCAATACCCTATTTAAGAATCTGGGTCAATAATGTAGTAGAGGCTGGATGTGGTGGCTCACACCTGTAATCCTAGCACTTTGGGAGGCCAAGGCGGGTAGATCATGAAGTCAGGAGTTCAAGACCAGCCTGGCCATTATGGTGAAACCTCCTCTCTACTAATAATACAAAAATTAGCCGGGCATGGTGTTGCTCACCTGTACTCCTAGCTACTCTCAGGAGGCTGAGGCAGGAGAATAGCTTGAACTGGGGTGGTGGAGGTTGCAGTGAGCTGAAATCCCACCATTGCACTCCAGCCTGGGCAACAGAGCAAGACTGTATCTCAAGAAATAATAATGTAGTAGCAAGAAATAACACTTTTTGTGATAAGAGTATTTTATAGTTATTTGGTTATTTATGCTAAATATCTCCTCACTTATAAAATTTTTCTTTTTTTAACATTAAAAATTTTTTTTTTCCTCCTGAGAATGGTCACTGAGGGAAAACAAAGAAAAACAGTTATTTTTCTAAATGCAGTGTGATATCCTGAATTGGTTTCTGGAACAGAAAAAGGATGTTAGTGAAAAACTGGTGAAATCCAAATAAAGTCTGTTGTTTAATTGATAGTATTGCACCAGTTTTGGCAAATATACCATAGTTATTGTTAAGATATTAATGGTAGGGAAAGCTAGGTGAAGGGCATATGGGAATATGTACTATCTTTGCAACTTGCCTGTAAATCTACAATTTTTCCAAAATATAAAGTTTATAATAAAAAAATTTTGAAATTTTGACCCTAACTCACCATCCCAATATGTACTTTCCTCATAGAGTAATAACCACAATAATAATTAGTTTGATTATTATTTTGAGATTATCCTTTTGAGACCTTTTAAATATACTTTTAATGTATTCGTAGAAAATAATATTGTTTAATGTATATATGTTTTTTCTTTTTCTAAATGTATACTAAAAATTACAT